CTGGCTTCAGATCATGGGGGTTAGGGGAGCACTCAGCCTCCAGCCCCTGAGTGTGATGGAAGTCTTGGGTTATTTGTAGATTCCATTTTAAATAATTCTCTTTATCATTTGTTTGATGAATTTGAACTGCAAGCACATATTAACTGTTGTTAGTGTTTTCTCCTCATCTACTAAGATGTATCACTTGGATTTTATATTTTTCAGTTTTTTAACGTTATTATAAAATGCTTAATGAATTTGGCATTCCCAGATAAACCCATATTCTGAATGAGTTAACTCTCTTAGATGCTAACTGAATAACTTAGCCATTTCTGGATTTTGTGCCTATGGTCAAGAGACTTATTGGTTTATGGTTTTATTTTCGGATATCTGTCTTTGATGGCGGTGTAAAGTTGGTATCATCAAACAAATTGAAATATCTCCCCACATTTCAGATGATGATAATGTAACTTACTGTGTTCAAAGTGCTGCGTTTAGTGCTAAATTCAGTCTTCACATCAATCCTACAGTGTATGGACTGTTATTATCTCTGTGGGATCCCTTGAAACAGGTAATGACATCCATACAGCTTGAAACCCTCAAATTTTAAGGGTGGGGAAACTGATGTGAGTTACTTAATGTCACTTGCCCGTAGTTACACAGTATATAAGCATCAAAACTAGGACATAGAATCCCACTCTTAGCCCATTTACTACGCCTTCTCTAAACAAAACTGATTGTGGGTTAAAGAAAACACATTTTTCAGGGTTCAGCCCAGTCACTGGGCCACTCATATCTTTACCTTTGGCTAATAACCTTGGTAACTGTAGTGTGTCAGGCTCCCTTCATCTCAACCCAGCCATCAGAAGCAGATCTCATTACCCTTGCTGGGCAGCTGTGGAAGTGTTCCTTCCTGTAGGGTGGGGTGCCATTTCAAACTATCATTTCCTTCCTCACTCTGCTTTCCTTCATGTCTGCAGCACCTTTCAGAAAGCAAAATTAAAAAAAAAAAATCTTTCAAATCCCCATTTAATTTTTGCGGGGTTCTTTCCTTATCAGGGCAGCTCACCTGTCATCACCTTGCTCTCCCCCTGGGCATTCAAGTTCCTAGTCTTTACCTTCTTCTGCCATCCCTTTATACTGCTTTGTCCCCACTAAGCCAATTAGCATCAGCTCTTCTGACTTAGCTCCTGTGTCTTGAGAAATAAGAAAACTCTCCCTCACTTAAAAAGGAGAAAGGAGAGAAACAGATGGAGTCTTATGAAGGGTAAGGGTGCCAATTTTCTTTGCTTTAGCATTGGGGATCAAGATTAGTTAGAACAGATTCCTGAAGCAAGAAAGGGTGGAGGGAGAGAGGAAGGAATGAATGAAGGAAGGAAGGAAGGGAGGAAGGAAGGAAGGGAGGAAGGAAGGAAGGAAGGAAATGTGATGCAACAGAAAGAGCAGGTGTATTTACCTCTGGTTTGGCTCTGTGGTTTTAGGGCATATGTGGCACTTCTCTGTATCTCAGATTACTCAACCATGAAATGGGTTCAGATGCATGTGTGGGTCATAAGGAGGTAACAGAGATGAAGTAATAGCATGCGGGTGAAAAGTCCAGCTGTGGGGAAGGCACTGAGTGAAATGTGCTTTTCTTGGACCACACATTATTCTGAGTGTTTGTAGGGTGAGGTTTTGCTATACTGCCTAACCTGGCCTTCAGCTTCTCATCTCAAGAAATCATCCTGCCTCGGTCTTCTGAGTAACTGAGACCATAGGTATGTATGACTTGAGTGATTTTTATATAATGTATCTGAATTAATAGATGCTATCTGGGGAGGAAATTACTCAGGATTTTACCCATTTTACTGTTGGGGCAAACTGTGGAACTGACAGGCTAAGAATTCCTCAGTGGCTAGTTCTGCCCATATTTCAAATTGGAATTTCTTGGACTCAGGCCAAGCCTGTTGCCCTGACACACACAGGCAATTACTTAAAGTAAGGGGCTAGACCACATGGCCGTTTTCAAGCTCTTTCCACCAACTTAGGGGGGTATGTGGCCAGAGACACCTGCCACTTTCCTGTAATTACTGGATCTCTCTTGGCAAACACCCAGGCATTCCCCATCCATCTCTCCATTTCCACTCACAACTCTGACAGCACTGGAGGGGGGGGGGATTTGGAAAACTTGGAGTGAGTTCACTGCTGGGAATAGTGATTCAATTAAATTCTCAGTTTTCAGCAATATTAGCAAGGTCTGTTGCTATGTCACACCCCACATAGTTGTATCTCTCCATCAACAATGGTGATGAGGGCTATCTAATTGATGGTGACTATAGGTTGAAGAGACCACCATGGTGAATTTTCAAGGCTAAATGATAGACTAAGTGCTATCCTCCAGGCACCTCCTGGACCCTATGCTGGTTCCCTAATCATTCGAGCAGACCCCTTCTCCTGACAACCCCATTCGATGACAATTATAACTGAAGCCACACAGTGACATCAATGCAGGAAACAGCCACTGAGCTGCATGCTTAATCACCTCCTCATCGTCACCAAAGCTGTCACTTGTTGCTACCACCCTAGGGAAAACCACTCTCATAATGTCCATTTTGCATAGAGAAACTGAGGCACAGAGACACCACATCACCTGACTCTGGTGGAGGCTGGATTAATCCTCAGTCTGTACTCTTCGTTTGTTGGGATATGTTTGCTTTCCTATATGGCTTCAAAACAGTGCTCCTCAACCTTCCTAATGCTGAGACCCTTCAATACAGTTCCACATATTGTGGTGAATCCAACCATAAAATTATTTTTTTGCTACTTCATAACTGTAATTTTGCTACTGTTATGAATCATAATGTAATTACTTATGTTTTCTGATAGTCTTAGGTGACCCCTGTGAATGGGTCATTTGACTCTCCAAAGGTTGAGAACCCACAGATTGAAAACCTCTGCCTATGAACCAGCCTTCCAGGTTATTAACAAAAGTGTTTGCTCATGGTTTGGGGTAAAACTGATCCCCTCTTTGAGCTTCTCTAGGAGCTTGATCCTTTTGCAACCAGCGACTGCCTCTAAAGGCAGATGCTGCCCTTGTGAGTTTCCTGAATCCAGGGACTGGCCCCTGAAGACCCTTGGGAACTCTTTGGTACAGCCTTAGTATTGCATACAGTAGGTGGTCAAAACTGTTAGCTAAGTTCAAATTGCAGCCCTTCTCTGTCTTAAATACCTAAGCTCTGGACTGAATCAATGCCAAGCACAGTGCCTAGCATACAGTGGGTGCCAAAGCTATGCGTGGGAAAGACTGTAGCTGTTCAGGAGAGTTAAACTATAAAGGTTCAGGACACTTTGACTTGAGGTCCTGACAGTCCGAACATTCCTTGTTCTCCTAACCTCATTCCCCGTTTTGGACTCTTGGAGGTCATCTTCCTTTTCTTTGCAAACCCTTGGGTTTATAGAACAAATACCCGAGAGAGCAAGCGACCAGCACAAGCAACAGGAGAGATGGAGAAGTCAGGAAGGGGGTTAGTTACACTGTGATGGGGGCAGGGTGCTCTTACAGGGAGGGGCTCTTCTACACTTAGCAAGCATCACATATAACCAACCTCTCAAAAACTCATTTCCCAATAGAGAGCACTGGGGACAGGCTTTGGAGGGCAGGAAGGGGAGGGGGAGAAAGGGGGAGAGGGAGGGGGAGGGGGGGAAGGGACAGCCTGGAAGGAAATCAATTTAATCTCCAGGTAATTACAGGAGTGCCTACCTGGTAGGGTACATCAAAGGTGGAGCCCCTCTCCTAGGCAGGGATAAGTCAGGGGGGGAGGTTGCATTCACAGAGGGATCCAGGAGCCTATGTTAGGAAACTTGTGCTTGCCTGTCATGGTCACCTTGGAAGTGGGGATTGCTGGAAACCATCTCTGGATTCCCTAAATGTTTGAGGAAGGGAGAGGTCTCTGATCTTGGAAGACTGAAGCCCAACTTCTCAGGATCCTAGGATGCTCAGAGTACAGATGCCAAGTGGTGGAGGTTGAGATGCTATCTTGGACTGGGCTTTTTCTTTCTGAGCCTTTCTGTCTGTAGCTCTCTCTTCTGCCTGCAAGTGACTCCAGGAATGCCCATGACACCATGGGGTAACATGATTATTCAAAGACCCAAAACTGAGGCAACTGCACCCCACTCATCTTCCTGGTCCCACTTGCTCTCCCACACAGTCCAGACAGACACCCCTCCCCTCTCAGCAGCTCATCTCTCTTCAGGAATTCACTACAAGTCTCAGCTTCACTTTCAAGAGGACATTACGACGACATGGGACCAGCTAGCCACTCATCTGCCTCACCCTGGGAGGGAAGACTGGGATTGACCTGGAGGCAAAGCCAGAGGAGACAGATATAAACTCAAGGAGACTGTCATCCCCTGAGATGGTAGTCTTGGCAGCCAATGCGCTTCTCTGCACAGTTGCCCCGTTCCGGTTCAGCCCCGACCAACAGACCAGGTGTACCCCTTGACTCTTCCTGGCCACAAGGAGACACTTCACTCCCTCAGGGCAGATAGTGGGTAGCAAGGGTTCATCCCATTGTCCCTTAGACTAGAGTGGCCAGTATCAAGGTCTTCATGTAGCATTAGTCAGAGATAGGGTGGCAGAAGTAAATGTTCTCAGCTGAGGTGACAGTGCGGGACAAAGGTAGGGGAGAAACCTTCCCTAACCTTTCTGCCCGGAAGCTGCAGTTAAGTCTCAAGCAGCCCTTGTGGGACCCTTCAGAGATGAGAGATGAGAGAGAGAGAGAGAGAGAGAGAGAGAGAGAGAGAGAGAGAGAGAGAGAGAGAGAGAGGGAACACGGGCGCGCTTTGGAGTGGATGCATACCCACAAGTCAAAAATGCCCTAGCGAGATGTCCCTCCATCCTCATCCTCCACAGTTGCCACCAAAGCGTAAACTTTGTTATTTTTCAAAGCGGGCTCCAGGGCACTTCCCGAGAGGGTGTCTGGGACCCCGGAGGTTGCAACTTGGGGCTTCCAGATTCCCTCCCTCTCCCCAGGTCCCCTCACCTGGTAATCCGAGGCACAGCAAAAAGCTGTAGTAGACCACCGGCACGAAGCCCAAGCCGCAAGCCGAGCTGTTGGTGGCGAGGTGGGCGTGCGTGTGCTCCATGAGCGCGCCCCTCGCCGGGCTGGGCTCGGCACAGCTGCCAAGCGGGTGGGGATCAAGCAGCAGCTGGGGCGGGATCCCTGATCACAGCACCGCGGGAGCCGCTTGCAGCCCTGGCCGGTGTCCTCAGCTGGCTCCGCACCTGCCTTTCTGGATCCGCTGCTCCTCTCTCCAGCAGGGAGCAGGGGATGCGGGAGGGGCTCTAGAAGCCTGAGTGTGCACCTCCCTCCTAGGACCGCTCAGCTCCCGCCTCAGAACCCCGGCCCGGACGCCGCTCTTCGCAGCCAATCAGCAGCTGCCTGAATGGTGTGTGTGTGTGTGTGTGTGTGTGTGTGTGTGTGTGTGTGTGTGTGTGTTGTTCACGCTCGCGCGTGCACGCGCTGGGGCTGAGGGTATCGGGTGGGATATTATAGTGGAGCTGGGTCCCACTGCGTTTTCTGGCTCCAGTTCTGGAGGAAAAGACCAGGTTAACTTGGGAACCCCAGAGGAAGACCGGGATGGAGAACAGGCTATGCTGGGTTTCCAACCCCTGTGGGAGGGGCGTGGTGCGGATAGGACCTGCTTCTGCCTTTAGAGGCTCCTTTATCCCTCCAGCATGTCCTCAGTTTTTCTTTTGAGTTTACCCCCAGCTACCTACCCAAGCTCCCTGCCAATGCCTCGAGTCCATCTTCGTGTATATGGGGGGGATAGGGTAGCGACTGTTTGGAGCCCTGGACCAGAGAATGTTGAAAGGTGTTCTTTTGTTTTGTTTTTTTGTTTGCTTGCCTGGATCAGGAAACTGAGCTTGGTGGGTCTGAAAGAAAGCTGTGAACATCTTTGCGTGTGCCACCAGGTCCATGGTGCTGTCCCTGAACTTGGAAGGGATGCAGGATAGCTAAGAGAAGCCCTTCACACAGCCTTCAGCCTGGGATAAAAATGTTGCAGACACTCAGACACACACCCAAGAGCACACAAAGGCTCACACAATGCCCGGCCATGCGGGTGCACTCACTCACACACTCACGCACGCGGACGCTCTCATCTTCCACACCTAGCTAGACTGGTGAAAACATGCAGACACCCTCATCAATATGCAGGAGGACGCAGCAGGCTCAGGCGGAGCCTTGAACAAGAACACAGATGCATAAAGGGGGCTGGGTGGTCTGAAGTGTTTGAAGGTTGTGTGAAGGAGAGTATGCGCACAGCAGGTGGGATCCTTGTTTTGGAGGGGCGCCCCCTTTACAGGAGAGGCAGGCAGAGTGCTAAAAGAGCTTCACTTGTCAAGGGTACCCAAGAATACGCTAGGGAGAGACATCTGCCCTAGGCTTAAGTTATGCCAGTGTGTTAAAGGCACCGCAGGAGCGCAGAGACAAGCCTTTCCAGGAGCAAGCTGAAGCAGATGCAAGATAGGGGCATGTGACTGGCTCTAAGATGCTGGACACCCACTTCTCCCCTTATATCTATTCTTGAGAGAAGGTGGTGGCTGAGGCTCCTCTGGGTCTCCAGCAAGGGCCCAGTGTCCTGTCCCCATGAGGAACTTCCCGGGCAGAGTGGAGGAGGGGAAGGCTGGAAATCCAAAATTGTAGAGGGTCTGCTGGCCTTAGCTGAGTCTATGATGGACAGACAGACACCTAGATCCCTAAAAGGACAAGGTTGTTGCAGAGTCCTGTAGGTACACTTAAGCCTAGTCTGATACTTTAAAACCCCTTAGATATTAAAATTTTTATTGAGACCTCTTGTTATCTAAAATTTATTATCGATTGACACACAGCATCATGCATATTTCTGAGGGTATAATGTGATATTTTGATTCCTGTATTTGATGTGTAATAACAAAATCAGTGTATATAGCTTGTCTGTCACCTTAAACATGTGTCATTTTTTGGGGGGGCTATACTCAAAATCCTCTCTTGAGGCCAGGCATGTAGCTTAGTTGTCAGAGTGCTTGCCTAGTAAACACTGGTTTGGACCAATAGTGGCACATAAGACCTGGCTCAGTGGTTCAAATCTATAGTCCCAATGCTTGGGAAGTGAGGACAGGTAGATCAGAAATACAAAGGCATCATTGGATACATAAAATCCTCACTTATAAAGATTTTGCATGTGACTGCCCTTCACATAAAAATCTAAAGAACAAAATCAAACCCCACTGTGGTGCTAAATGAAGTAGCCCTCAACACATAATTGCTGTAAATCTATAGACTTTATTGGCCTGTAGGTGGTGCTGCACTGAGATGAGAAAATGGGGTAGGGAAGTATGTGTGGCTTGGCAAAGCCTCCAGTCTCTTCAGAGATCTCCCTACATTGTGAATAATGTAAAACCCCAGAGCTTTTCCATAGGCTGTTTCCACTGTCTGAAATGTTCTTCTGGAAGCTTTACAGCTTGCCCCCTCACCTTCATGTCTCTGTTCATATGTCTGGTTTTCATTGGCAATCCTATTGCCAATTATCATCTCAGTTATTCTTTACCCAAATCATGCTCTACCCTCCTTCCTCCCTGAAGGCTTAGCACCATTATTCTACCATATGGCATCTGAGTTGTCTTGTTTCTTGACCATTCTTGGCTTGGAAGGGCAAGGCCTTTTGTCTGTGGGGTTCTGTCGTATTCTCAACCTTTCACAGCCCATGTACATTGCACATGAGGAGAGTGAAATCTGCAATAAATATCCATTGGTTAAGGCTGCTCAGCATGAGTTTGCCTTTGTTTTTTTTTTTTTTTTTTTTTTTTTTTTGCAACACAGATGGGTTGGTGCTGGAGTTGGGGACACAGCCTCAGATTTAGCATGCAAAGGTCACATTTGATGACACTTCCAAAGTGATTCAAATTCTGAGGCCCATTGTTAGAAAGCCTTTATAGAACCTGGGTGGGCAGAGGAACCACACTGCATGGGGGATAGTGAAAGACCTAATTGTACTCTAACATTGACTTTTTCATTTGTAAAATGAAATGAAGCAAAGCAGGAATGCTGTTGTCCCCAAATGCTGTTGTCTCTCTGTGCAGAGAGAATGGGAGTGTGATGGGAGGAGGGTAGACTACAAATCCAGGAGATGAAGGAGTTACCCTTGATCACCTTGGGATGCGATGCTTGGCATCTGGTTGGTTTTAGTCTGTTTCTTGGGAAATGCATGTTTGCATGAAAATGTGTTTAAGGCTTTGAGTCTGGCTTTGGGTGCTTTCAGTCTTAGGGAAAGTGTATGGCAAAGTCCTTGAGTTGGGTGGGGCCTTGTGCCTATAATCCCTGCACTGGAGGGGCTGAGGCAGAAGAATTATGAGTTGGAGGCAGCTTTGGCTATATAGTGAGACCCTGTTCCCCAAAGAAAAACCTAATCCTTGAAGGTAGAATTTTGCTCCAAAGCTATTCCTTTTGGCTAGCTCTGAAGGACAAAGGCATGTGTGGCTTGGTGCAAAGGGCTGGGGACATCCATCCATTCTTGCTTTCAGCGGACTTTGCACAGCTCTTCATGAGCGCTTGCCAGAGTCCGGTGCTAAAGAAAATATGGCATCTCATGTGCAGAAATAATTAAATATTTAAAAATGTCAATAGCAAAGCTTTAAATTGACTGTGGCGCCCTTGCTTGTGTGGGACCCTAGGTGAGCACACATGTGATACACCTGTGTAACTGGTCCTGCTGCACAGATATGAGCATTGTGGTCAGACTTCCTATGTGTTGAGAGTTTAATAGGCATCTGTTTGATAAGTTAACCCATAACCACAGTGGAAGGAGGGGCACACTGAGCTCCATTCACAGATGAGAAAACTAAAGCATAGAGAAGTTCAATAAATTGGTGGAGACTTCCTGATTGGGAGTTTGCCCAAAGTATTCTGACACCTGAGTCTATACTGAAGTCACTGAGGAACTGAGGCTGGGGCAGGGATAGGCACATGGGAGAACTGTCATTGCTGGCATGCAGCCCTCATGCGTCTTTGTCTGTCTTGTCTTCACTTGAATTCTCAGCACAGTATCAGACATGTGTACAGAAATAAAATCTGAATGAATCCATAAATGACTGCCACAGAAATATAGGCATAATGTCATAGTAGGAATAGAGCACCTAAGTGTTGGCAAGCTTGGTGGATAGTGACCACCAGTGAGACAGAAATGATGCTCATTCTTTCTTGTGCTTGAGGAAGTGTGCTGCCCCTCATGTTACCGATGGCTCTGGGCCTTCTCCATCTCAACTCCATTTCTTCACCCGGTGGTAAATGGAGATAGATCTAAATGACAGGGCTTTAACATTAGTAGCAGCACAAACACAAGTTGCAGCTAACACTTTACTTAGAGTTGGGAACACAACAGGGAGAGGTGGAGTTGTAGCAAATCAGAAGTGTATATGCTGGCCACTGTAATGGGTTCTGAACATTCAATTGTTTAAGATAGTTGGAAAGGTCTCTGATTTGCTGGGTCTTAAACTTGAGCACAAGACAAGAACATGAATCAACACACACACACACACACACACACACACAGATACATAGAGAGAGAGACAGACAGACAGACAGATGGTGGGGGAGGAAAGAAGGGAGGGAGGTAATCTTGGGTAAGTATTGTGAAGAACAAGTTAAATGGAAGCTGTTATATGGTCTGGCACCACTGCAAAGCTTCTCCAAAGTAACATTTGAGTGGCTGTGTGAAGGATAAATAAGGGCTACCAGTGTAAAGGGATGTGGAATTATGGGTGAGGGGCAGAGAAAAAAGGCAAATGTTCTAGTGTGAGAGTAAGCAGGATTTGAGGAAGCAGAGAAGCAGGCTGTGGGGGAATATGAGGAGTGTATTGCAAATGATAAGTGGGCAGGGCTTTTTTGACCACAAGAATTTTTATTTGTTTAAGGAGAGCAATGGATTGTATTCTTAGGTTTGCATTTTTAAATACTTATTCTGTAGGGAAGTAGAAGAGGGGATGGATGGATAGATGGATGGATGGATGGATGGATGGACAGATGGGATGGGGGTTATGATTGAGGTCATTCTGGTAGGAGGTTCTCTAAGCCCACCTCAGTGGCCCACCCTGCCTTCTCGTCCCTTACCATAGTGTAACTTGCCTTCTAGCGTCTCCTTACTTCTGAAGACTTCTATTAAGGCTCACTCTGTCTGGA